GACTTGACGCGATATGAACATCCATTAAGAACTTAAAAGATAGTATTACAGCAGAATGTATAAGAAACCTACTCTTGTGGCTGGAAAGCAAAGCATCTCAGTGCTGTAGTGGGATCAATATGTGTAGCCAGGAGAACCTTTATGAAATATTAGAGCCTTAGTTTGGACCGGCTAATTGTTCGGCTTTGAACTAATTTTTTGTCACTGTCCTTTTTACAGATTGGGGAACTCTGGATGGAGACAGTGTGCATGTGCTGATTTATTTACATTTATCCTCTTCACATTTGAGCGGTTCACTCTCAGTTTGTAATTTGATAAAAAGGCTTTCTGAGCGGTCGATACAAAGACAATGTGCTATGTATATATATACAATCCATTTACCATTACACACTTTATGGAAAACTGTATACAACTCTGCAGCGCACTCAGGTATTCCATGCTGCCTAGCTCAAGGCCACAGCACATGTTGTATGAATGAAGTCTGATCTGCAAAGAAGGGATTTGATTCTAATTTTTGTCTATGATTTACTGCTGGAACAAACACCTTTTCTTTCTCTATTTCTCCTTTTATTTTTAATTTAATGATCATTTAAGTACTAGATACACATATAGATATGTGTGTTTAGCATATGCACGGCAAGACGTTGCAAAAATGCTTTGCAAAACAAACAAAATAAGAAAAAGTGTTTTTATTCCTACTGTCAGTTGGTGAAAAGTTATGGTTATAGATGTTCCTGTGTACTGGGTTTGGTTGCTCAGCTCTTGATGATGTAGGAGTTTGTAGATGGAGAGTTTATGTTGTAAAGAAGCAGGTTTGGTTGTATTGCATTTGTTGTAAATTGTAAAGACTGATTCACTTGCAGTCCATTACACCTCGGTAATTTTAGTAGTGTAATGTACAATGTTGAAGTCCAGCTGGGTGGGAGCTGTGCACCCTGTTATCTCTTTTGCCTATGACAACAAATGCAATCAGTAATCCCTTGCATTAAGATGACACTAACACCCTTTACTAAAAGACAGGACAGTGAAAGTTTTACCCGTTTTCGCAAATTACAGGTGAGGATGAGGTTGCGGGAGAAAGAGTTGGCGAACGCGGTGTAAAACTCCAGCACCCGCATCAGGGCCTCTCTCCGGATGACGTGCAGATCGCAGTACGTCAGAGCACGCACATTCGCACAGGCTCGAGCCAGCGTGGTCTCTTTCCAGAATGCATCTCCAAACACGTCACCTTTACCTGAACAGGGCCAGATATCACATAAACATCTGTTGGCTCAGATAAATATAAATAAAATGGGATAAAGTCGAACACAAATAGGTTGTAAAGCATAAAAAGGACTTCAGAAAACTCTGCACTGAAACAAACTTTGCTCTAACTTCAACTGAGAGCAGCAGGTACAACTTTGCTTGGTCTATTTCACAATATTGCCCTGGATTACCTAGTATTGCGATGACCTCATCATCTTGGATGACTTCGAGTGAACCCGAGACTACAAAACAGAGCGTATCAACGCTCTCCCCGATGTGGAAGATGAGGTCTCCAGGTGCGCAGTGTGTAGTCTGAAACTCCACGGCGAGAGAGCGCAAACAGCCGTCACTTGCCAGGCGAAAAGCCGGATGGTCATTGAACACCTGTCTGTTGAGGTGGACGCAGATGTCTGCACGCATGTCTTTAGGACAGATGGAGAGAACCTGAAAGACATGATGAGATTTGTGCAGCAAACACTTAATGCATCATCGCTGGAGGACATTAAATATGTAGCACATTTCCGCTGCTCATTAAGCAGATGTATTACTAAACGTTTTAAAAATAGAACCGCAGAGACATGAAAGCTGCTTCTTTAAATAACCTTTAAACTCCAGATGTTGGACCATGTGATCTGATTTACTTCATGAGAACAACAATGGTAATGTTGTTACTGACTGCATGGACTGTAGAAGTTCAGGACCTAAAAGACAGATATGGGAGGCAGGCAAGATTTAACCAAGGGCATAAACTTTAATTAGGTTGTTGGGAAAGACAATAAATGAAAACATGAAATCCAAAAGATAAAAGATAAAGAGGTGAGATCTCCACATTGTAGTGTCAGTCTGGCATTAAAGGGACAAACAGAAATAGCTGAGGAGCCTAACTTGATGGGACTATCCTAAGATCTCCAACAAGTACCCTGGCAAACTGCATTGGTATGTATCTGACAAGTAATTGCACATCAGTTTTTGAAAGCACCCCCTGAAACGTTTGCACAGATTTGTACCTTGTCTGTGTCAATGCCCTTCGACATGGCCCAGGTGGAGACAATGAAGTCCATGACCCTCTCGCTCAGACCTTTGGGAACCTGGTAAAGCTTAAGGAAGTCACGCACATTGTTGAGCATCTCGTGGTAGCGATTTGTGTTGGTGTACATCTGCTGGAAGATGGTGGTGACGTTTCCAAAGATTGTGGCATATAGCAGCGCTAAAAGACGGAAGAGCAAGAGTTCATCTTATTTATTCGAATCTAACGTTTTCATTCATCCGTCTTCTTCCACTTATCCGAGACATGATTATTTCTTCCAGCTCATCTGGGGGGACAAGTCATTCTCAAGCTAGCCGAGATATAGAACTAATCTCTCCTGCGAGAGATAAATGCTTTTAAATAACAAATAATCATATTTATGGGATCACGGTATCCAACTTTCATACCTCAAATTTAGAGTTAAATATTGTTGAGGAAACTGCCTATGACAAAACGTTTCAGTGGAATATATGTGTGATTAATGGAGTATTTAACACACAAAAAAAAATTATATTTGGATTAAAGATTAAATAATTAATTGAGATCTAATCCAAAACGTTATTCCCTTAACTTTTTCCACTTGTCCAATTAAGGTATAGTGTCCCAGCTGTTATAGAGCAAAATTTCAGGTATACCTTGGAGTGGTTACTAGTTTATGACGGGAAAAAACCGGAGCATGCTGATATTTAACTGTCCTTTAAGTGTTTTCCACGCTACCGGCTTCCACACAACCACGTGAAGACTTTTTCCCTCCAAATGACATTCTAGGAACAAACCAGCTCATCTACTTGCCTTTCTAGACCTTCGGGGACTTTTGTGACTTGTCATAAGGTCAAAGGTCATTTTTCCACCTGATGAGGAGTTAACCTGTAGACCCTGTTCATGCAGAACAGTTGCTCCTCCAGGCCACTCTGAGGGAAATCTTGTTAACGCTCATCTGCAGTCGTATGAAGGCTGGAGTAAGAGTACAGCACCATTAAAGACTCTTCTTTTTTCTTTTTCTTTTGATAATCACCAAATTATGCCATTTGATTATGATTGCTCAAACCTTTGCTTGCCACTCTTTATTACAATCCCCTGATTCATACATGACTAACACTTGATCAATGATGCTGTAATTACATAATCGCCGGTGCACAAATGAGAGTAATTTTAAGATTTCAAAGATTTTACAGTGATAGAAAAACGAAAACCTTAAAAACAGTGTGGATGTCCATCTGACGTGATGCTGTATAAGCACTACAAGCATATAATCATTATATCTTGGTTCTACAATAATATAGTACTGTTTGTATTTTACATTTTGGATAAACTCTTTAGTGAATTTTATTTATTTGGTTTTAATAATTTTGTTTGTTTTGTTTTGTAATTTACTGAAAAGTAAATGTACACAAAACAGCACTGCTGACAGAGCAGTTTTCTTAAATACATGCATGCATAGCCTGATATACACAACGAGGGATGGGCTAACTCTTTATGATATAATTTCTAATCCACAGTTCCTGGGTAGGAGTGCCGTGCTGCAGTGACCTCAAAGAGTCACTCAGCATCTCTTACTGTGGGGTTTTATCCACTCAACGGGAAAGCTTCATCTCCGGTCACCACAGCAGGATCACAGAGGTTAGGATACATATCTAACGTGATGGCTCATTGTCCACTTACTACACCCGAGCCTGCAGGCAAACTGGCCCTCTCTTCGATTCCTTCTCCACTCAAATAATTACCGTATCTATAGCAGGAGATTTATGCCTCATAATTGAAGCCGACACTGCAGTGTGACTGAATGATCATCGTGATCCAGGCGCCATCAGAATAATGGGTGTTTACTTTCGACTGTACGAAGCTTGAAGCGTGGCTGTTACTTTCTGAGTTCTCACTGGTTTTATTGCATCACTATACATGCTGTTTTAGAGGGATGGGCCAAAGGTTAGTGCACAAAGGTGAGTGATGACCAAGGTACTGTAGAGGCACTGAGATCAAAGGTGAAGCTATTACTCTGTCTGCAGTGTGTGATGAAAGCAGCAAACAGGCTGGAGTAAAAAATAGGCCTTTCTATTTTGGTGAATTGGAACCACAAAAGATTACTAAGACACCAAAGACATAACTTAGGAGCCACTAATGTAGTTACAGTACTAAGTTCTAGATAGTTTTGAAGTTAGCTAAGGAATATGGCGTGACTTATACGTAGACTTATATAACATAATGGATCATTTCTAAGTTCATGTTACACAAGACTCTCTATAAGCTTCATCCTCATCAATTTGACAGTCGTGTCCCATTAAATACTGAAAGTCACGCAACACAGGGAATGTAAAGAAAAAAATATCTGTATTTGCTGAAATTTTTAAGGGTAATTTGGGAATAAATGAAGTCTTCAACTTTGACTTTCTTCATGACGTTTCTACTGACCATGAGAAATACAGAAGAATGCAATGATATTTATTCCCTGCATTGAAAAAACGACTGACTGAATTAACATGCAATACTTTTCTGATGTGACGACCGGCCCTCAGACAGACATTCACAGAGCAGGCTGTGATGGGCGCTGAACATGTCACTTTTGATTATTGACAAAGCCGAAACTCAGAGTGGTTCAAGCACCGAGGCTGCAGCTAAACGTGAAACCATGACTAGAATGAAAAGAGGAAAACGTTGTCTGTGGATCATTTAGCTCTATAAGGAATAAATACCTACTTCACTTTCTGAATATTGAATTCTGTCATTATCGAAATGTGATTTTAAATAATAATTAACTGTCAGTTTGGTCAATTAGGGTGGCAGGTACAGATAGACAATCTATTTAAATCCCTGATTTAGAGCATGCTTCCAGGCCTTTAGGAAGAGATTTTCTACTGAAAATGTTTTTTAATGTTTTAAATGGATGTCTAGTTGATGTCTCTGTGACGCTAATACACACACCAGCCAATCACATGACACCAGCTCAGTGCATTTAGGCATGTAGTCATGGTCAATTTGATGTGCTGAAGTTCAAACTGAGCATCATGATGGGGAAGAGAGGCGATTTAAGTGAATGTGGTGTGGTTATTGGTGCCAGACGAGCTGGTCTGAGTTTTCTAGAAACTGCTGATATAGTGGGATTTTCTCGTTCAAACATCTCTAGAGTTTACAGAGAATGGTCTGAAAAAGAGAAGAAATCCAATGAGTGACAGTTCTCTGGGTGAAAATGAAAATTTTTGAGCCGCTCAGTCTACATGAGTATTGTTGCTGACCATGTCCATCCCTTTAGGAACACAGTGCACCCATCTTCTGATGGCTGCTTCCAGTAGGATAACACATCCTGTCACAAATCATCTCAAACTGATTTCTTGAACATGACAATGAGTTCACTGTACTCATAGCCACCATATCTCAATCCACTATAGATCCTTTGTTATATGGTGTAATGGGATGTTCAGGTGTCAAATCTGCAGCAACTGTGTGATGCTATCACGTCAGTATGGACCAAAATCTCAGAGGAATGTTTCCAGCGGTTTGTTGAATCTATTCCTTGAAAAATTAAAGCAGTTCTGAAGGAAAACAGGGGCCCAGCTCAGTCCTAACAAAGTATTCCTTAATAGTGTCCACTGAGGATATGCACATTAAAAGATTAGGAGGAAGTTGCAATAAATAAAGGTAAATGGTTCAAAAATATTTTGTGAAAACTAGAAATTCAACTGATTTGCAACGTTTCACTTTCACTTTGTTGAAAATGTAAAAAGAGACAGCAAAGTCAACTCTGCCATGAAATGTTTCAATAGTGGGTACATAAATATATTAGTGTCTAAGCAAAGTCATCTCTAAATACATCAGTAATTACGTACCATATGTTGCTTTACTGGCAGCTGGTAAATAGCCAGCAGGACTGTGGAGAGCACGTTATCTTGACTAGCGTGCAAGTAAGTGTAACCAGACTGTTTCATCTCCTGCGAGGTTAAACTAGCATATTATGAATGGATGAATGCACGAATGACATCAAAGTATGTATGCTTTGTTTAGTGTGGAGTGATGGGGAGACAGGGCTGTTTTTGTTGTTACAGAGCTGTTGTTCTGGTAAACTTCACCCACAAATGATGCTACTGAATATGGTTAAAACATCCTTTCCCAGCTCCAAGTACAGTTTGAAACTCATGGATCGTTCCATTATATGGCTGTATTACTCTATCACATTGTGGCTGCTAGTTAAATGTTTCCTGTGCCATTTTCAAAGGTTTTGTGAAACCTTTGGAGAAACTGTTAAATGTGATGCATGTTGGAAATGCAGTGTGTGGTGACTGGGTACTCACAGCCCACCATCATCATAGCCACGGAGAAAATCTTCTCGCCATCTGTTGTTGGAGCAATGTTACCAAATCCAATGGTGGTCAGGCTAGTCATGGTGAAGTAGAGAGAAGAAATGTACAGCGTGTCTTTGGTAGGACCTCCTTCCCACCGGCCATTACCGCTAGTGTTGTAGCGGTAAGGAGTTCCAATACTCAGTGCCAACTGGTAGAGCCAGCTGTCTGTCTTAATGGTGTTGGTGGTCTCATCAATGACCTCGTGGTCACCAATGCTGTACCAAATGCAGGCAAGCCAGTGAGCCACCAGGCCGAAGACACACACCAGCAGGACCAGGACCGCAGCTCCATACTCCAGGTAGTGGTCCAGTTTTCGGGCTACGCGGCCCAGACGGAGCAGGCGGATGACTTTAAGGGAACTGAAGAGGCTGCTGAGACCCTACAGAGAAAGAAAGTGAAAATGTGAACCAGATATCCAGAATAACAGATACATTTGTGATATATTTAAGCTACTTTTTGGAACTGCTTAACACAGTGGCAAATACATTGTACATCAGATGAAAGCTGCATTATTATCTTATGTTAAAAATTTACACTGGTTTTCATGATTAAAATGATTTCACCTTAAGAGAAGAAAATATCTGTCAAGTCAATAAAACAAGTTCAGAATGTGTTAAATCATTAAGAACAGAGGATTCATGTGACTGGTGGAAGACAATCCGAGAGAGTATGGCAACGTAAAGAGGTGCGCTTTGAGAGGGAACTCCAGAGTTTAGGAGCAGAGCATCTGAAAGCTCACATTGTATTCAGTTGAGGGGAAGGGACAGTGAAATGGAAGGAAGAAGAGTGCGAATGGGTGTGTTGATGTGCAGAAGTTAAGAGTGGTACTGCAGAGCGATGTTGTGGTCTCAAAGGTGATGAGCAGAATGTTGATATCAATATGATATGACATTAGCCAAAGAAGCTGCTGATGGGCCTGTATGTTGTGACTAATGGAGGCAGTTCTGGTAATGATCCGAGCACCAGGAAGAGAGAAGACCTGAGAAGAGTCGTCAATAGGGAGGGAAACACTTACATTTACACAAGGTGGACTGGTGTCAGTGAGGAGAACCTTGGTTTTATCACTATTCGATTTGATAAAGTTTACAAGAGTACCAGGATTTAATTTCCTGGAGGCAAAGACAGAGAGCAGTGGTACGAAAAGTGGTGGGACATTTGGTGCACAGGCAGAGCTGCATGTCATCAGCATAACATTGGAAACTGATATTAAATCTATGAAAGACATGGCCAAGAGGAAGTAGACAGATGATAAATAAAAAAAGGCTCCAGGACAGATCCCTGTGGGATGCCAGTGAAATTTAACATTTTTGAGTTGAAAGAACGGAGTGCGACTGGAGTTGTTACATTTTGTTGTACACAGAGATGTTACATTTGTACATATGCAAAAAAAAAAAAAGAACTATATCTCCTTAAAGGGTGAATATTTTTCATTGCTAAAATTGAAAAATCATGTTACTGCTTGGTTTTGTTCTCGGGAGTCATGATTTTTTTGGGCTGCTTTTACATATTATTACAACACTGATATTGTAAAATAAATTATTTACATACAGTTGAATACAGTTACAATTACATACAGTTATTAAAATTAGAATGAGTCTTATTTTGGCTCTCTCCTAATGTAAATAAAGATCATGTATATAAGATGAATGAATGAACTCATCATGATATCACCTACCGGTTAGTGGACTGATGTTTTGAAGCCTTGAGTTTACCAGTTTAGCTGACTCCACCTTGTTCTTTAAAAACTTTAATGTGATCATAAGGGGTAGGTACAAAAAAAACAAGGGCCATGTGGAGGTTTTGCAGTCAGGTGACCAATAACCACGTGACATTAACTTGCCCACAACATGTGGGCAAGTGACAGTCATGGTGATGATGTAGAATCAAGTGAAGAAGGCCACAGTAACACAAGCGTAGATACTGGTCAAAAACCATATGGGAACCACTGTTGGTGAAGGGAAAAATTAGTATTCCCTTACTGGTTGTGTGTGGTTGGTCACTCGCTTTTACACCTAAGACCATTTTAGAATCATCAATAAACCTAACCCATGCATGTCTTTGGATAGTGGGAGGAAGCCCCAGCCTCCTCCTGGATTCAAACCCAGGACCTTCTTGCCATTAGGTCACGGTAAACACTGAATTTTGTAGATATCATTGTTGACAATACTAATGTTCTGGGTGAAAAACTCAAAACAAACAGCTCAAAGACTCTGCAATGTGATTATTCAGTGTGGTTTTGTTACCATAAGGGATCAATAATATGACCTGATTTCCATCCATTCATCCATCCAATTTCTTCCGCTTATCCAATTCAAGGTCGCGGGGCGGGGGGGCTGGAGCCTATCCAAACTGTCATAGAGCAAGAGGCATGGTACAAACCATATTTATCACAGCATATTTAAAGAAATACAGAAATTTACTTACTGGGAGAACGGAGTCTTCAATCCGTGTGCTATTTCTGTGGAAATGTGACTCACGAAGATGACCCGTGGAAGAGGCATGTGTGAGAATATCCTACATTAAAAAAAGAACAGTAAAGCAGAAACGTTTTAATGTATACATGGAAAGACATACCATTGTCTGAGCAATTAATCCCACATTAAAAGAATGATCTTTATTAAAGTTTACTCACATCATCAACGTTTTCAAAGGCGTTGATGATATCATAGGGCAGGCAGGACAGCAGGTCGATGACAAACCACGTCTTTAGGTAATTCATTCTTATGAGCTTGGCATCTGAAATCACCTCTCCAGATGGACCCACAAAGGTGGTGTGGAAGTTGAGCACAATGTCAATCAAAAAGATGACATCGACAACACTGTCCACAACCAGCCAGGCCAAGTTGTTCTGCTTGGTCCTGAAGGAAACATTATAGGGTACCATGATGGCAGTGTAGAAGGTGAGGATGAGGATGATCCAGTCCCAAGTGGTCTTGAAAGTGCAGTAGTGGAGGATGATGTGTGGAGGGGTCTTAGGGGCCTCCTGCTTGTACTGAGGGAGAATGTCTGATCCCAGCTGGAGAGCCTTTCATTGAGAGGAAACATTTGCCGTCATGATACAAGAAGATCTAAGCCATATTTAAAAGATACAGATTCTAGAAAGAAAATTTTGGGTCTTGCTCACCTCAGCCAGTCTGGAGGGCTTGTGGCTGACCTCTGACTTATTGAGTGGTGTTAACTGCTGCACCAGGTTTCGATTGTTGGCCAGTGCTCGTGTGAGCCTGGCAAACTTTGTCCACCCTATTCACAGACAGCAACACAGAATGCACAGGAAAACAACACGGCATCTGGCATTATTTAAGAATTAAGAAACATTTAAGAGCATTTAATGTTAAGATGTTTACGTTTTACTGGAGTTTATGGGAGTATTAGGTGATGTCAATTTTCTTTGTTAAATGGGCAATAGATATCTTTTGACTTGAACTGAATTTTTGCAGTTGGATAATAACACCATCTGTGTTTAGACTGGTTGCCTACTAGCCTTGCTTTAACTGTGCACTGCTGTCTGCTACCTGCCACAAGCACGACTGCTCAGCCAAAACAGGAAGAGGAGAGAGCATTGGTTTCCTGCTATATGAAATTAGGAATGTTCACAACACTTCAACACTTGGAAACTTTACCCAGCAAAAGAAAACCTGGTCCACTCCCAGAGGAAGCGCAGAAGGAAAAGACAAGTGACAGAAACTGAAGGAAAAATAAAAGTGATCCCAATTTCAATTGACATTATTTCTACAAGATTTATAATAAACAAGTCCCGTGTACTTGCATCTACTAAATCAAAGAATCTCTATGCGCTTGTCTCTTTTTCATCTGTTTTGACAAAGAGTCAAACTTTGAAGGTATCCTGTTACATACAAAAACAAGTGTGGCGCCATATTTGAAGTCATTTGCATGAGGAGCGGTCTCATTTTCTTTTTGTAATTTTTCCCACAGTGTTTTGTTAGCCAATGAATGGAAATAAACAGGTTTAGGCTCTCGTGCCTGTTGATTAGTATCACCATTATGTTGGTATTGACAGAATGCACAATTCAGTGCTGTGACATCATGTCTGATCAATTACATCTCAGAGATGTTGGGGATTATCTTACTACAAAAATTTGTTTTTGTTTGTTTGTTTTTTTACATTTTTTCCTGCATTTTTGCAATTGTTATGATCCGTCTCTTTTCACATTCTCTCTATGTTTTGAATTTTCATGTACTTCCTTAGTTTCTTATTTTTTGTCTTTTAGTTCTTTGTTACAGTTTCTGTATATTATGGTCTATTTGTTTTATTTGTTCCTCCTACTTTCTTGTGTCTATGTGTCCCTGTTTAGTTATACCTTCTCACTTCCTGTTTTAGTTTGGCAGTTATCTGTCTCCTAAGTCTTGTTACTAGCTTAACTTTTGTCCTCTTGTCTTGTTGTCTTGAATTGATTCGGCTGTGCCTTGTTACCCCTTTGTTTCCACTTTCTCTGATTACCCTGATGTGTATAAATAGTCCTGCCTTTGCTTTCCCCTCAGTCATTGTCTAAGTCTCTATGTTATCTCCCTTGAATGCTCCCTGTTAGTTTTTTTAAAAATTATTATTTCTACTGGCTCCTTTCTTCAGATTTTTGGTGACTTCATTAATGGACTTTGAATTCAGTGGTTTTGATAACAATCCTAATAAACGGTTAATTACGTCAGTCTCCAGCAACTGCATTTGGGTCCACTCCTTAAATCCACCATGCATATTGCACCACTGCAGATTCATGATATAAATAAATCCTGACTTGAAAAATATTAAACTATTAATATATGAATAATAATATAATAGTATATAAAATCAATCTTCAGAAACCTGTCACACACTTTTTTTTTTTTACCTCTGTGAAACAGGATTATTCATACAACTACCTTCTCCTTGTGCCCTCACTGTCATTTAATTCTGCTTGATGTATGCAAAAAGTCTCTGTGGCACAATTAATCCCCAGGGATATGGCACTGCATAGACTCACAGACACCACTGTTCACTGACCCGGACACACAACACCTGGACAGTTGTACGTTACACACCAGGAAACTAATGTCTTATAAGTCAAAGCCACTCATGTGCAATCAAAATCCTTTGTCTTTAATTGTAATGGCTGGACCTTTAGCGATAACTCCAAAGCTTTCAATGTGAAAATCCCAGAAATACAATGAAATACAGAATACTATCAGGTGGAAATTATTGGTACAGTAACATAAAGTCTCTCACCTCTTGTGGACTCATCGTCAATTGGCTGTTTGAACAGGGTGATGTCTCTGAAGGTGCAGAGGAAAAGCACCACCTTGTCATTTTCATTTCTGATTGGGGCTATCTGCATGTAAAGCCATATTGGTGTTTCTGTGGGAAGCAATCAAAAAACAAAAAGTAAATGACCAGGTATCACTTCTAATCGTGCGTTTCTTTTTCTTTTTTAACATTTATTCCTTAATAATTCATTTTATTTTGGTTTTTTGTTAAAATCTTGCGATTCAAATTTACAGTACTTACTATTCTTTGTATACAGCAGCACCTCATAGAAATTAGACTCATAGCTGTCAAATGTTTGTTTGATTTTGTCTATCGTATTTCTATCAGTCAGATCACCATACATGAAACTGCAAAATAAGACAAAGAGGGAAGAAAACATAATGAAATGTGAATAACAGATTATGAGTTTCCATAATGTAAGGTTTATATATATGTTTTTTTATACTTCAGGTTTGACTACTTCCAGGTATTTAGATTAGTTCCCCTTTTGATAAATAAAAAGTGGAGATTCAATATATTAAAAAAAAAAAACAACATAAAAAAACCACACTAAAATTGTGGATTAAAGCTTCCAGTCAAGCATAAGAAAGAAAGGTGCTGGGTGCTTGAAGAGCATCTTACTTGCATGTGCTGCTCTTGTGCATCACCTCTGCTCTGTGGTATCCAGACAGCTTGCAGAATCCATCATTGCTGTAAACGACTGGCCACTCCAGGACCTGTGCATTTCCCAACAGGAAGCTCGTTTCTGAGACAAAATACAGGAAACCAAATTACAAATAAAGAAAACATACGTAATAAAACATATGCCTTTTATTATTTATCAAATCGCCATACATTATTAAATCACCATAATGCAAGTTTATATTTACTACTGCATATAATGGAAACAAGATGTAAAAGTTGTCCACATTTGGCTACCAGATGAGATGGAGAGAAAATAAAAGCTGTTTAGGTTCCACTCATAATGCGAATCAAATATTGATGAAGAGCTGAAAACTTCTTCCACTGTACTGCAGTTTCAGAGCAGTCTGCAGTCTTCAGACAAAAGGGTGACTGAAGTTCTTCCAAATTAAATTGCACACTTGAACTTACTGTACATGTTGTTCATTCTGCGGGCTTTTGTGGTCAGACATTCAGACAATAGAGACTGAATTTCAGATAACCACCACATTACTGAGGTGAAGAGTAAAGTTTACAGACACTGAATCAATGTTGCACCCCTCCATCTACGTTTGTAAGAAAAGCCTCTGAGTCTCATGAGAATAATGTCTGATTGCCTGCTGTGCACATAGTACTTTAAATATTTACGCCAGTAGTACAGTTACTGGCTGTTTTGCTGACATGCATTTTCTTTCTGAAACATAAAAAAGGTATACAGCAAAACTGCGCTCTACTCTCTGGTATTTGTAGCTAAGAGATAAAGTGCCATAAATCAAATTATACATCCCCGAAAAGAACATTAAGACCTTTAGGATTGGCTGCAAATCCAGTTCTTGTAAAAATGAGACTATATCTTCTCACATTAACAGAACTTTACTCCTAAATACCACTGAACAAACACCATGCATCAAATCTGGACCTTCATTCGTTTATGAACTTTAGCTTCTGCAACAATGCGCATAAATAAGGAACAACCTCACAAATCCTCAAACAAATGCTTTAAAATATCATATTGTGATAATCATAATATATGGTGGTGTAAAATTGCACTCATCACATAAAGAATAATCTTTACTCTTACTTGATCAGTAAAACAAATAATTAGTGTTTTCCTAATTTTTTTCTAGAGCTAATTTAAAAAGCCTCCCATAAGAGCAAACTATAATTTATATTTTTCATTATTTATCCACATAATTCGGATAATGTGGCTGTTTTTGTTTTCTATATCAGAAGAAATGTGTCAGTCAACTTTCAGGTAAAAAAAAAAAAAATTGCTACTTAAAAGAAAAAAATCAGCGATTGCTGATTCTGCTTCCCAGCAAATGGCACAAGAAGAACACACGTCGGTATACTTCAGCATCCCAGTCCTGTGTGGTTCCCTGGCTGAGAAATAAAATCGAAAGCATCACTCATTTCTGTTTCCATTGCAGAGTCAAACTCACCGCTGGACCGCCGGACTATATTCTCCAGGAAAGTGTTCTGCGGAGCCACCAACCCTCTCTTGCCCCCATGCATTATGGAGGTTTCAGGTCAGAGACTCGGTGCTGCTCGGTGGTCGTGCTGGTACTAACTGACCCTTCTCCGTTGTCTGCCCGGCGGGAGCCTGGTCCAACGGAGTCAAGATCGCCACGATGGAGCTCTGTGTATCCGGACTGAGGCTTCAAAAATAAAAGCCTCTTTGTAATCATATGGAGCTGGTCCAGATTTGTGGCCAGCTGGTTGGGTGCACAAAGTCAATTGTAATTAATATCCATCGATGCTTACACTGTAGCCACACTAATCTACACTGGCCCAACACTGGACTAACTGTTAGTTCTTGATAAAACAAACTTTTATTTTTAAGGTCTTTTCTAGAGTATTGCTGGTATTATTGTCTCAGGTTTCCACTTTATACATAACTCCGTCCAGACGCACGAGCTGGCCTGAAATGTCTGATTTCTTTCCGCATTAATTTAAATGCTGGGGTTGGACGCGTATTTGTATTTAAAATACGTGTTAATGGGGTTTTATATTTTTTCTTTTTAATACTTAGAAAACGTGCATGATGATGAAACATCTGATATCAGGAATTTGTTCAAGTATAATTCAAACAGGTCATCCTTTCATGGGTTTTTAGGAAGCTGGAGGAAAATACAGTTATATCGATACATGAATGTGCAAAAGTCTTCATTTCTTTACATTTTGCTTCCAAGGAGCCAGGCTTTTTTTTGTTTTATTTTTAGTCAAAAGCAATATTTCTCCAGGCTTTAAAATAGAATAGTAATTAATCCAAATGTGAAATTATTGGCTCTAATCATTGACAGTATGTATAAAAGTTAGGACAGAGACACAACAGTGAGTGTCTACAGTCATCTTTAAAACACGGTGACGGCTTTGTCATGAGTGGGAGCAGCATTTCATCCAGCAGATTTTATCAAAATTAATGGAATTATGAATGCAGAAAAATAATTTCATATTATGATCCAAATCCCAATACTATGTGGACAGCACCTGACTGGCAAGACCCTTTTTCAACATGACAATGAACCCCAAAACACTGACAGTACAATAATGACATAGCTGGAGAGAAAAAAACATTTAATGGATCACCATCAGTCATGGATTGGCCTTCCCAAAGCCTGAACCTCAACTTATTAAAGCAATGTGGGATCATCTTGACAGACAACAAAACAAAAGGCAGTTAACATCCAAAGAAGAGCTTTAATAGTCCCTCAAGAAGCCTGGAGAACTATTCCCGAAGACAACTTAAAACTTGCAAGAGTTCAGGCTGTTGATGAATAAATGTGGTCATACCAAAAAATTATTTTAGAGCTCATTAGAACTCTATTTTTGCCTTATACACGGTATTTGCACATGTTTCAATAAATGAATGTTTCTTTTTTGTGTATCAGTTTCTTAAGCTATTCAAATCTATTCATACCTACAATGAATCTCTGACAGTTGTGTGTCAATAAATATTTGATATAAGCTAGTGCTATGCAAAGAACACAAAAAACAACATGTAGTAGTGTGATCTAACCTAACCAAACTACAGAAGAAGTGTCTTAATGTATCTCTTTAATCAGTCATCATCAGACGGGATGCCTCACATCATCATCGTCTTGCAGTAATTAGATCATGTGTAATGTGCAACATGTTCAGCAGGGGGTGCTAGCTGAACATGTGCATTGGCCTGACAACATTAAATCAGACGAAGAAGAATCCTAGCAAAACGAGGAATAACGGCCTGACGCAGTTAGTTGTTGTTTGTATGAGTTCGCGTTACATACGCTGCGAAGTAATGGTTAACTGTCACGGACTTTGTATGCTCGGGGCCAGAGTTTCCATGCTGTTATTCAAGGTCGGTGCTTTGGTTGCAGGTAGCAGATAGAGGCGTTCCTAGCCGCTGTGCTAGCTCGGTTTGTGGTATTTTGTTTGAGAGGAATGCAACGGCCGCCGAGCTGCACTTCTGTCTAGCTTCCTGGATAATGAACTCCGCTTTTTATGACTAAATAGAGTTACCTCCTGTTTGCCAACTGATATAAATTATTTTAAAATATGGCGAACTTTGTAAAGACGTTTGTGCAGATATGTAATTATCTACAGGACCCCGAACTTGTAGCAAGGTTTCAACATTTCTGCGGCGTTGAAGGAACATTTCCGGATACACCGAACGCACCGGACAGCGGGGTGTCTGAGCCGGACCGTCCTGGGCTGAGGAAGCGGGTCCAGCAAGGTGCACAGAGCTCAGATGCAGGTGTTGGAAATGGAGCAGCCGGAGATGGTCCCACGCCGCAAGTTAACGGGATGCTGGGTGACGACACCACCGGGCCCGATGGCTCACCATCAGCAGCAGCAGCAGACTCAGAAACCACCATAGCAAAACCCCTCCGGAGGAACTCACTGACTGGAGATACCGGTCAGGAGTTCCTGATCCACAACAAGTTTCTGTTCTACCTGTTCACGTTTGGCACTGAGCTGGGCAACGAGATGTTCTTCATCATCTTCTTCCCCTTCGTCTTATGGAACATCGACGCCCTGGTCAGCCGGAGACTCATCGTGGTCTGGGCCTGGAACCTGTTCGTGGGACAGTCCACCAAGGACATGATCCGCTGGTCCCGACCGGCCTCTCCTCCTGTGGTAAAGGTGGAGGTCTTCTACAATTCCGAGTACAGCATGCCATCCACGCACGCCATGACGGGCACGGCCCTGCCTTTCTGTCTCTTCATGCTGACCTACGGACGGTGGCAGGTGAGCATATGTACACAGTCCAGGTGCTTTAATCGGATTAAAAAGGTGTAATACATATATAGCTAGACAGACCCCAGAAGAAAAAAAACCCCAACTAAATTACAGTGTCCAGTAGAAGTTTTTCCCCACTGACCTCTAGGCGATTAGATCAGAGCTTCACTGGCTCAGTTTGTCTGTAGCAGCAGTTTTATATTTTTTTTTAAAAAAAAGCTTTTTGTTTGATTTGTTAGAGTTTGACAGTGGACACAACCCCAAAGGGGATCTTTGTCTCCAGCGGGGGTATTTTCTGTCCCAGAATGGACAATTAGGGAGTTGAATGTTTCCTTGTGCATGGTGGTCAGCATGATCAATCCACATAAAACTATGATTACTGTAGTTAAAGTTGAAGAGAGACTCCAGTACTTTCCGACTGTCCGTGAAAAACAGAGATCCCACTTGTCCCAGTTTCATAGCCGAGTGTTCAAGGCACAATCCACACAATGGCTTTCCTCTGGACAGGAACAGGCCTGAACAGGATGCATATGCTTTGTATGCACACTGTTACACCCCTGGGGTTTGAATCCTCAGTGTTGCTTTATGTTTTTACTACAAAGTGCTATTTGACACATCTGCTGGTCCTGCAAAGTGGATCATCCTTTAAAATTATCTCTTACTATTTCAGAAAACTGAAATAGTAAGAGATATTTCTATAGCTTATCAGAATTTATCATTTAAGACCAACACATAAGTCTGTATTCTGTTAAGGGGGAAATTATTGTTCAGCTATGGCAGCCTGTAAATAGTCCATTGGCAGTTTTTTGGACTGCCTGTCTCTCTGCTGAAGAGCGTTTCTTGTCAGACTGGGCAGTATAAAAAATATGTGGTGCAACCGGTCTGTGGGCCAATCATGTTTGTGTTGTTGTCGGTGTACTAGCCAGCCGTGGAGAAGATTGAAGCTATAACATACAAAGAGCTGAAGTGAAACTAAATGTTAAAAACAATTTTAAAAATGTCCACTGCAGCCACTGCCTGTATGTTTTATACTGTATTTTTGTTTTCTTTGATGCTTTTTTCACACTTTTCCCATTCCCAATGAACTCTGAAGCACAGGGTCATCAACACTGATCACTGTGCAGTTGTGATTTTGGAGGACTGTACAAAAGGACGTTTGCATTTGCAGGAGCACTAGATGTTACTTTCAGCTGTATAGCAGAACGTTTTGGCTTAGAATAGACTTTTGTGATATGACTGCACACAGGTGACTGCTTGTTTAATCTGCATATATTCAAGGACATGAGTCTGTGTTGACTTAAGAAAAAAAAGTTAATATATTTTCCTGTTATTTTATTTGGCCATTTGATAAACAAAATTTTTTTTTAATCCAGTACAGGCCACTTATGAAAACCTTGTTGAAAACTGCACTCTTAATGATTCTACTTTGCAAAGGCAACATTTTTATTTTTGGTTGCTAAAATATATAACATGCTGGATATGCAGGAGAAATGCTGCGTAAGCATGCCTTTTAGCAGTTTCAGTTCTTTTCGTGTCAGAGTGACACTTGGTAAACTTTTTATTTTGTAATATTTCAGCCATAAATATGATTTCTAAAGGTTGCAGAGGCTCATTTTGGAATATTTTCAGAGCATCTGTCAAATACTAGCTTGCTTTACTTTTACTGCGATCTCAATACAAAGCTTTTCCAATTGTTATGCTACCCAGTGAAACATGCTATCTTCAGAAATGATTTGTAAATGTGAAATTCCAGGTCAAGGCATGCTCTTTGAACACCATTGTAAATACTTTTCTAATTCATGTTGCCTTAGATTTCAAAGGTCTAGCTTTAACACAGGATATGAGGACACTTTGATAACTCACGGCACAGGTAGGCAGAGGTGCCAAGTTCCCAGATGGGGTCCAAATGTTTTCTTTTTTGTTTAGTTTTTTCTTTTCATGTTAACTTGACATTGAAAAGCACAAACCAACAGAAAGCCCAGCATACACTATTTTGTGCAGGGCCCCTCGGTGTCAAAGAGCCAGCCAATCCGACTGAAGGACTGCCATTTAAATCCCAGTTAGTCTTCAGTGACCAGTCTTTAATGAAGAACAGCACAGCTTAGATCGAATCGTAACAAAAGCTGTAATATATCAAGCTTATGCTTTGATTTGTGCCCCGAACAAGACATTAAAGAAGTGGACTGGCAGCTGGATTACAGAGGTTCGCATAAGGAGAAAGAACCAAGCTGTGTTTTGTTTTTATTTAAATGAACAAAAACACAAAAACAGAGCAAGAGCAGGAAGCAATGAATGCGCTTTGGGAGGAGAACGTGTCAAAGGTA